GAGCATCACCATGTTCCCATAAACACGAAGAGATAGACAGAGCAGATTCGGAGAGGGATTCACACCATACCCAATAGAGAAAATACAATCGATTATCTACCCAAAATGAAATAAAGTCCCAAAGACCTATGATGGTAATAAATATGTTATAACCCGATTGACATCGCAAAAGCATAATGGTACACAAAGCCACTTTGAAGTGTACTTGTTTGCTTTGCTAATTTTTGTAATGTGTTGGAAATTTTCCAGAGCACCTTGACTTTGTCGTAAGTTTTCAAAGAAACTTCATACCCAAATCGCGAACATGATTTTCACTATTAAATCATTAAAAACCATCGCTTGTTCAAAAAAAAAAAAAAAACGCATATATGAACCACCACCAACTAGACTGACTTATTACGACATATAAAGCACCTCTGGACATAGGAAGTCGAGTAAACCAAGAAGGATTAAGTCGTCCGCCACTCTCCAGCTCAATCAGGACCACAAGAGAAACCAAGGATCACAACCGAGAGTAAACCACATTGAACAAACTCAGAACACAGATTCGTCAAGTCTCCGAGAGTCTTCCTCCTCCCATCCGACTCGACCTCCATAGCTGGGTAGGGCGCACAGCCCAATTCAACGGCGCCCAGCCTCTCACCACTCTGCAGACCACCAGCCTCTCCACTCTCCTGTCCCAGCACCCACGATGTCAAGAACACTCCGTCCTATGCTCCATCTCTGCGCCAGAGACCTTCCGGAACAACTACCGCCAGCACCAGGATGAAGACGGAATCTCCAGCTTGAAGAGGAAGAACACGGCTGCCACGAAGAAGAAGAAGAAGAAGAAGAAGAAGAAGAAGAAGAAGAAGATGCGCCAGCACCTAACCCCACATCACAGATTTGCCGCTTCCACGCTCAGCAGATGAAGCACCTGCTTCCCTGCTGCCTGGAACCCTATCTCAGATGAAAGAAGTTGTGATGTTATCGACTATGTAGGATAGGGGGACGAGATGAAAGCAGTCGACTTGTAATGTTGTCGTTGACTATGAGGCGCCAAATGGAGGAAGCTGAATCAAAACTTCAGAACCTTGTCAACGAGGACAAGGACGGACACAATTTGGGAAGGGAGGGGTCTATTCAGAGGTGGATGAGTTGAAACGGGCCCTTGAGATGATCTTCTTGCACGAGACGAGGCAGCTCCATGACAGCAATGCACACAGCTAATAAGGTTGGAAGAAGCTTGGGAAAGCAAATGGAGGGTGAGCAAATAGGGAGGAGAACTTGCACAGGAACGCACAAGGATGGACAAGAAGGTGCAAATAGTTGTTTTGCAGAGGGTTGATGCACACCTCAGAGAGAGCCGAGCAAGATGACCATCAAAGAGCCACAAAGTGGCACAAACTATATAAACAAACAGACACAGTCCGTCAATTCCTCCCATTTTCTGGAGGAGGAAGATATCTCTCACCTCCACCACACACTTGTTATTGCATCCACACAACTACAGAACAGATGGCATTGAGTTATTGCATCCACAGATTCCACACAAAACTACGGAACAGATAACATTGAGTGAGTGTAAGTAGTCCATCCACATCCTCTGCGCCATCAATCTTCTGTCGGACCCAAAGACTCCCTCCCATAGCCCAGCCCTACCCATCTAGCTCTCCCTCGCTACATATGGTACACAGACATATGAGACTTGCCACCACTGCATGTCTGCAAAGGCTTTCGGCGCAACCTCCTTTCAAGTTTCTAATGGATTGTACGTAAACACAGGTTCGCACATCACGATTGCGCGCCTGCTGATGCACAAAGCCCTGTACGACACAGAAGAAGGCACTACAAGCCAAACTGCCAATAAGCAGCCTGGCATTATGTCTCAGTGAAAAAGAACAGGCAAGATGTCTGAGTACGTAAGCTGGTCATCGTAGGACATTCGTGTTCAACACCAGAGACTCTCCTTCCCCCCCCCCCCCCCCCCCGAAAAAAAAACAGAGAAAAAAAAAAAAAAAACAAAAAAAAACACCTACAGTCAAAACATGAGATCAAAATTTTCATCACAGGGATCAGAAAGCGAAATAAGTTCAAAATTCAAATAACACATCACGACCCCGCCCGCTTGATCACAAAAGAGAGGGGAACACGTTTCACAACAAACACAACCTCGGCGGATTTCTTGCACAATCACCACCACAAGTGATGTATTCCTCCCTCATCACAAGCATTCTGCAGAGACGGAAGACTTTGTTCTGCCGCTCGCCACAAACATATGCCGAGAACTACAGAAAAGAGATCACACCAGTCCAATCCTGTGCTGATCACTAGCCATCAATTTGTTCCGCATCAGTGTCGTTAGACTCGTAGCAGACAATGTCTTGCAAACGATGCCAGAAGCAGATGACTCTGTCCGACCACCTGAACCTTCGACGTTTTACGGGAACCGCTCCTGGAGTCCTAGGGATCACTAACGCACACACAAACCATCATCGGTCAATGAGAAAAGACCGCCAGAAGACGTGAACTGACCCCACCCAGCTTGGGATAACATCGACTGCCAACGACTATCAAAAGCGCCAATGAATGAATGAATGAATGAATGAAAAATGGCGTGAACAGACAAAATGAATGGTATGGTTTGTTCAGAACACACACAAAACCAAGCCGCCAATATCTCCTTTTTGCCCTCCTTCCCTCCCTCTCTTCTCCGGGTTCTTCCCTCTTCTTATGTCTGCACACTTGTCCTCTCGTCCCACCAGCAAAGGAGAAATAACCCCTTGTGAAAACTTGAAAACACGCCTACAGATAGGTAATAAGGGCCACATCGCCGTACACTTGCATCTGCGGCATGGACGATTTTTCTCCACCTCAGCCGGCTGGGAAGGGTGATATTCACAAATTAAATAAATCTTCAAGATCCTGAAAAGGAAAATGACAAAACAGCTCCAAACTTCAACAACAGCTCAATGCCCATCACAAAAATCAGCGCACCAGGACATATTCTTCCTCTCCTTCTTCTTCTTCTTCTTCTTCTTCTTCTTCTTCTTCTTCTTCTTCCTCTTCTTCTTCTTCTTCTTCTTCTTCGTCTTCGTCTTCTTCAACAATCAGCACCATGACTTTAATTACCAAGTGAACATACATACATATTACATAGATGACGGAAATCACGATCATCGAGCTAGATACTTCATATTGACTAATCTTTGAGCTGTGCTCTTCCATTCCCCCACAGACTCTTTATCTTTGTGAATGAAATTTAGTCCGTCTCTGCATCCATCCAAAAACCATGTTCGTCGTTAACTATGGGTGACTTCGCTACCGTTTAGTGCATCATCCACATTCCATAACTATAAGCGCCCTTACGCCCGTTTTCACCAACCATCCTACATGCATCTCAGACACACACTTATGCATGCGCACCACACCATCCTTTATCCTTCAGGCATCAAGCTTTTCCATCCACCTAGATTCCTTATCGTCTTCTCTGCATGTCTGGTCCGAGCCATTACGCGATGCGCCCATCCATCACTCCATCCAGCAGCAGAGAAACGCACATTAGCGTATCTTCTGCTCTCGTCACCATCCCTGACACATCCTTGCATCCAGCACCGGACAAACGCACACACGGATGTATCCCTTGCACTCATCACCATCCTCCATGTGTCCGATCATACGCACTTAACTTATTCTCCACGCGATTTCCGTTCACCTCATATGCTAGAATTACCCTCGTCAAGTTGTCAGGTGCAGACTGTAATGGCAGAAAAACACCAGAAGTGACAATGCTTCCGACTCTGAGCATCCTCCCACAGGTTTCCTTCCCATAGATGCTGGTGTTTTTCACCTCCCCTTTCTGCTGGCTTTAGAAAACAGGCAGGCAAGATGGAGAGGACTTGTACCTCTACCCCGACCACCGGTGAGGAGTACAAACCCCACCCAATTCCCTAATTCCGGGTACCCCTAACAAGGCTCACAAACCGTTTATGGGAGACCCTCTCTTTTCTTGTCTTTTCTTTCTAAGCCCAACCAAAACTTTGTCGTTTTTTCTTTCCTTTTCCTTTTTTAAAAGGGATTCACCCCCTGCCTAATGTTACTGCAACCATAGGGATTCTAGATCCCAATCTGTTGATCAACATTTACATTGATTGCCCGCCGTTCTGCAACATCACCCACAGCAAGTCGCTTCTTCTTCTTCTTCTTCTTCTTCTTCTTCTTCTTCTTCTTCTTCTTTGTTCTTGTCCTTCTCTCAACTTCCTACATGTTCTTCTATATATATACATATATATACAGAGAGAGAGAGAGAGAGAGAGAGAGAGAGAGAGAGAGAGACTCCTCTCGCTGTGCACCTACAGTCAACCATGAGCTTGCTGTGTCAATCTCGTCTCATCTAAAAAAGACTAGCACGCATCAGGAGCTGGCAGAGCTGCATGGTTGTTGTTCCACTGTCAGACTGCAGCCTGCAACCCCTTGACTTGCAGGGTACAAAACTGCACACTGCACTGTGGAGCATTGATCCTGGCATCTAACGCCTACAACGCTACAACCCCCAACCAAACCCTCCCCTCCGCCACCGACGTGCCGGTTTTCAAAAATAAGGCCTGACTCTGCACGCTCTCCACGAGCTCAGAATGCCCCTTCAATTGCGAAAAAAAAAAATTTAAAAAATCCTGGAAACTTTTAGCGCGCCAGGGTCATGACACGTGGAACAACAACCATGCAGCTCTGCCAGGGTCAATCCACAAATGCGTGGGCAGATCATGGGCCTGATCATGCTGCACCGCACGGCCTTCTAGCCCACGCATTTGTGGATTGACCCTGGCAGAGCTGCATGGTTGTTGTTCCTCATAACTCTGGCTAAAGGCCGTGCGGTGCAGCAAGATCATGCTCCTAACAGATAACTGCCTCATAAGTGAAAATGCTGTAGCAACTTAAAACAAGCTAAATAAAGCAGCATCGCTGTGCATGATGACAGTGTAGAATTCGTGTAGATCTGAATGGCTAAGGCTGAGCAATAGCTGGCACACACAATTCCACAGGTTGATGAAAAGGTTGGTAATTCCAACCCTATGTAATGCATTATTCCCCTTTCTGCAAAGATTAGGACTATGAACGAGGGAACGAAGGGGCGAGGAAATATACTTACAGAAGTTACAGGGGCACAGGTAGCAAATGATATCTCGATCCAACAAAGGAGACGGAAATCCTTCATGTGAGCTAACTCGGAAGGTCCGTTGTTCAGAAGCAAGACCCTCAAACGAAGAAAAGGGATGCATGGAGAAAGAAGAGGGAAGAGGAGGAAGGAGGAGGAGGAGGAGAAGAAGAAGAAGAGGGAGAGGAAGAGGAAGAGGAAGAGGAACAGGAGAAGGAGGAAGAGGAGACGGAGGAGGAGGAGGGGAAGAGGGAGAGGGAGAGGAAGGAGGAGGAGGAAGGAGGAGGAGGAGAAGGAGGAAGAAGAAGAAAACGAAGGAGGGGGAGAGGGAGAGGAAGAAGGAGAAGGAGAAGGAGAGGAAGAAGGAGAAGAAGAAGAAGAAGAAGAAGAAGAAGAAGAAGAAGAAGAAGAAGAAGAAGAAGAAGAAGAAGAAGAAGACAATGAGGACGAGGACGACAAGGACAGTGATGGCAAATATGAAGACCTACAGCAAGCAAGATGAGAACGAAGGCGGAGACGGCGGAGGAGGTGGTGGGGGAGGAGGACAAGGACGGGCGAGGAGACACCTGGACAGTCAACAACGACATCATCACCAGGGCTGGAAGCCAGTAACTCTATCAATGGATTTTGCAACAGTACTCTGCCTCTTGACACAGCAGAAGATGCTCATCTTGCATTATCTTTTGGAAACACGTAGTGTGGTTGATCACACACTCACTGCTCGATGCACTTCTTGGTGAAGATGATTCTCCTGCGCGTGATGTGGACAACCTGCAGGACATTCTTTTCATTTCTCTCCTTAAACGAGTTAATGAACAGAGCTCTTTTTCACACGTGCACATGGCAATCACAATGAACTTCAGACCACATTCCAATGCAGTAACTCACAGGTATTGCTAGAACAATTACACGCCGAACATACATGCACGAGTCTGGCAGGTGGCCATGCAGACCAGGGTCTATAAGATTCACCTTCATGTTCACCCCCCATTCCCTGCCCTTCTCCCTGGACCCCAGACTTGCCTCAGTATATCTGTCACGCTCCATCCGTTTGTTTGCCTCCATCCACAGTCCTGCCCTTTTTTACATTGTCGATGTTGCCAAAACACAGTCAAGCCTCTCACATCAACCTATGTCAGGTCCTGGTACTTCGATGTCTGTTCTGAGCCTGTGGTTCAAACCAACAACCCTGCCCTGCAGTCGTTTAGCCATAAACCTCAGTCCTGAAGCTTGGCGATACCCGTTGTGCCTATTGTACTTCGATGATCAGTCCTGCACCTTGGAGACACAAAAGCGGTGGCCGTAACACTACCCTGGTCATCAGCATGATTGACAACGGCGTTGCTGCCCACAGAAAATGATCCAACCTATCAAGGATAGCATAGTCCCTCTCCCATGACGACGGCAAATGTGGATACAAGCCCAGTCTAGATTAGGACCGTGCAAACTACTACCGATGTCCTGACAAATGGAGCATAAGATGCAGCATTTCCCTCTTAGGGTGTAGACACCACTCATAGGGTGCTCGTCGTGTACATAGCTCTTACTGCCAGTGCATGCTGGCACAGGCCCACAAGGCAGCATGCAGAAGAAAACAGGGAAAGGAATCACAACTCAGGCCATAGGTACACCTAAATTGATCAGTCGAATAAGTCGGATATTACAGGTAAGGCATAAAATAGGAGACGCTGCAGTGCGCACATTGAAATCTATAGACATAGCAACAAACATGGATGCCGTACATCGACGATGCACCCAAGCGTAAGAACAACAACAAAAAGAAGTGAAGCATAGGCTTGCATTTGTGAGGTGGAGGTGAAGTGCAAACTTTTGGAAAGGATAGATCTCATGATCTCTACATAGACACTTTTGGCTATTGAGCAAAAGCAGCCAACCGACTGCTCCAGGACCAATAAGAACACTGTGGAGTTCACCACCTATGATGGATCTCCTTATCTCTACATTGACACAAACCGTAAGATAACTTGCATTTTCCGTTGAGCAAAAGAAGCCGACTTAACGTACGACGGTCTCTCCAGGAAGAATGGGAACACTGTGGAGTTCACCTACGAAGGCTAGGAGGATATCACAGTTTGTGAACTATCTCACAACCGTAGAAGGCATAAAACTAAGTTGTGGAATTTCAGCCAGGGACCATGGGAACAAAACCCTGCAGTACCTTATGCTGCACTATCCGAAGGCACAAAATAGAGACACTGGTAACTGCTCAAAGGGCTTGTTCATACTACAAAACCTCGGTGTGGGAGTGAGCACAGAGGAATATTAATATGGAAGCCAGCAAAAGTGGCTTTGAAATAGGCTGCTGGCATCTACCGGCAGTGTAGTGCAGAGACTAGAGCTCCACAGTCGGCTCACTACGGTCAAACCACAAGCAAAGCAGCCTTTGCAAAGCGTGTCAACAAGCACCCACTTGATCTTAACTGTGGTACAGGCGGAATTTTTCGACGTCTCTTCCCTTCTCACATTCTCCCACTCTGCTTTACATACAAGGGACCTTCCCACCTCCCATTCCTGCCCCCTCCCCTCTCTCTTGCTACTTTACATGAACGTAGCAATTTAGTGAACCTTGAAGGTTCGAATTCAAATGTGGGCCACCTGAAAAGATGTTCTCTCTCTCTCTCTCTCTCTCTCTCTCTCTCTCTCTCTCTCTCTCTCTCTCTCTCTCTCTCTC